GCGGACCAGCATGTCCTCTCTCTCTCTCTCTCTCTCTCTCTCTCTCTCTCTCTCTCTCTCTCTCTCTCTCTCTCTCTTTCTCTCTCTCTCTCTCTCTCATGTCTGTTTCTCTCCGCGGAAACGTCGCTCCCAAAAACCCAATTGAGTACCAGATCTGCTACGTCCACCCTTTCAGGTCGTCGTCTTATCCACTTCCTTCTCCCCCTCGCTATCCACTGACACCTCTTCATCTCCTCGTTATTATCATCTCCATCACCATCGTCTGCTTTCTTCTATTGACCTTCCTCCACAGTATGTATTGCCTTTTTATCAGATCATCGTCGCAGCAGTCACTGATGGAGAAAAACATTGGGAAAAACGACAAGAAACGACAAAACAAAGGACAAAAAAAGGACAAAAAAAGGACAAAAAAAGGGACAAAAAAAGGACAAAAACACGACACGATTGAGGACCAAGCAGCCAAGAGTGGTAATAACGCTGGTGAATCACAGATCAGAAAACGGCTACCTTCTTCCACCGAACACAATGCCCCCATTTCATGACTGTATTTGGACCTGAAGAGGGGCTGCATACGTTCAGGATGTTCGCCCCGTTTGAGGCCAAATGAATACAAAGGTTTTCTCGCGGCGGGGGGGGGTATAACTTTTCCCCAGGATATTTCTAATGATGACCATAACGATAAGAATTCAAACTTTTTACATTGTGAGTAATTAACGAAGAGTATCATTAAAGAAGGATGGTGGGAGACTGTGCCTATTTCCGGTACGCCCTATGTCATGTGAATGGGTGCCACGCAGCTGCTCCCCATCAATAAAAAGGGGATGCCCATTCATTGAAAAAAACAAAAGCCTCTTGAGGGGCGGACAATAAAGCAAACGGGGATCCCCATTCATTCCGTCGACTAGACAAATGATGACGTCAGTCCGGGCTTAGTCCCTTCTCCTCCCCCTTCTCCTCACTGCCTTCTATTCCCCCCCTATGGCATGCGCAGCTGGCGCCGCAAGCGAGCAACCAGTTAATCAAACAATCAATCTAGAAATCATCCAGTCCAATCAATCAATCAATCAATCTTTGCCTTAAGCACGACTGCGAGCGAATTCCGTGACTGTGTTCGATTGACGTGCACTAATTAAGAACTACATCCAAGCCAATTGCACCCTCACCGTCAGCGACTTTCTTTCTGGACATGATGCCCTCATCAGCACCGCAGCGAAGTACGTCGGTTCCCCCCATCAGATCATTATACCGACTCCCACCTGTGGCTCACCCATCCACTACGCCGAGCTCTGGATGGCATTGAAGAGTGATAAAGAAATGTAGAGGGAGCACGGAGGCGAAGGACACGCATTCACAGGACGGTGCAAATTCACAAGGATTGTGGCGCAAGTGGATTGTAGGGCCATGTGCTTGCACGACCCGGGAGCGGGGAACAAGCTGGGCCATGCGCGCGCACCAATGCCTAAAAGCCCAGCGCCGCAAGATCAGGACCAGATCGATCATCAAGAGGAACAAACTAGCCTAAAGGCCTTGACCATTCTGTCAGTCCCGTTAGGTGTGGGCACATTTGGTCCTCGCTCCACTACTCTCTACATGTGCAAAACGAGAGTGAATCTTCCCCTACAACATGGAAAGATGCACCGCATTGATTTTTGTCTTTTGTGCATGTCGAGAGTAGTGGCGCGAACCCCATTAACGAAACCCCTCGGACAGCGCCGGCGAGCGGCGGGCGTGCTTACTATATTCGTGATCCGCAAGCGCCAGACGCGGGGGCGCACCCCCTACAGTCAGATCTCGCGCGATACATAGTACTATTAAGAAGACCTTCTGCCGACAAGTACTGACTCAACAGTCCTCCATTATGGACAGCACTTCATTATCGCAGCCGTCTTTAGCTAAAGACAAGTAATTCATTCTGAGCTTACTCTCGACGTTGTCCGTTATCTTGAGCAGGTAATTCATTCTGAGCGATTGCGACGCCAGCTCCGATAAGATTGGAAGAGTTGGGAGAATTCAAATCTTGGGCGACCAGATGCGTGTTTCTCTGCCCCCTCGCTCCCTCCATGTGGGATCGGTTCTCTTGACAGCCGGGGGTTGGGGCACGGGGCGGGGGTGGTAGGGGCGGGGTGCGTGGAGCGGGGGGCAGCGGCCGGGGATGGGGGCCGCGGAGCGGAGGTGAGGATGGGGGTACGGGGGCGGCGGGGAAACCAGGTTACGTTACCTCGAGGGATGTCGTACCCGCTGTTGACGTGTTCGCGCCGTCAGATGAGCCGTCTATGCTTATCCGTCCATCGCGCGCAAAGCGGTTTTCTGCTACATCGCTGATAACAGGCTGCGTATCTCTAACGTGCTGATCCTCCATCCCCTCTCTTTCGCAAGACACCGATTGAACTGGCCGCTGAATCCGTTGTCGATTGATTTTTTATGTGTTATTGGCCAATTTATTGCTCGATTGATGGGTCCTCTTGGCTGATCGAATCGATCGAAATGATTGGATTGACCAATGGACACGCAGATTAAGTAACGGGTCCACAGTCGATGAGGCTGCAGCTCAGAGAGTTGTGCACAGTGTGCCGCAGCCGTCTTACAGAAGATAGTCTCCGGGACAGAAGTAGAGTGCGTCCGCTCTCTTCCTCGCGTGCTTCAGCTTCCCGGTTATATCGGCGGAAAAGACACCACGGAAGTCGTGACCACGCACTCGCTCGACCTGACTCCACGTTTGATTAGCTCGCTGTGATTGCCCTGGATCCACCTTTGATTAGGTCGCTGTGATCGCCCTGGCTCCACGTTTGATTAGGTCGCTGTGGTCTGGACCTAAACAGTTCCCTGCTACACCGTCGAATAGCTCAGCCCGACTGGCTGATGGGCAAGTTCCAGTCAGCTGGCACCCCGACACTGGGGGGATCCAGGGGCCAAGTCCCACTTACCCGGATTCTCCACTCCCGACCGTTGATCATGAAAATCAACGGCCAGAAATGAATAATCCAGTCAAGTGGGACCTGGCCCCAGGCCTATGGCTGAATAGTACCGACGTTTAACAGTTGGCAAAGAGATCATGAGTTCGAATACTGCATGGAAAACACACGCGGTCTATTATTGCCAACTCAGCACTAAGAACATTCCTTTGCCACTGCCACCTGCTTCCACAGGTGGAACCGAATAGACCACGCAGGCCATACACCAGGACCTGCTACACCAAGTTTGCACTCGAGTGTAAAGGGGCTCTTTGACACTCCTCGGGCAGGTGAAGTCCCCGAGGAAATTATCGTTCCACCTATCGTTCCACCTATCCTCGGGGATAAAAAGAAGCGATAATTTGCAAAATACCCCTATAAGTTGAGATATATGCCAAACTACCCCTAAAAGATCTGGGTAGAGCGGAATGCCCTTTCCCTGTCAGGCCCATGTGCACATTTGCAATCTGGACCGCGTCGTTGGGCCCTGGACTTGCACCCTGTCTTACCCGGTTTGCCCTCCATACCAGGTGGGCAACTTTGAGCAATACCCAGGCCCGTCGGTGAGGTTCCCCATCACCAGCTCCTCCTCTCTCTCTCTCTCTCTCTCTCTCTCTCTCTCTCTCTCTCTCTCTCTCTCTCTCTCTCTCTCTCTCTCTCATGCACAAACACACAGCGAGGGGGAGGGGGCAAAAGGCAAAGATGACAGGTCCAACAGACGCCAAGGGCATTTTGCTAGGCATTTTTTATGTCAGAGGGGTATTCCGCTCTACCCAGATCTTTTAGGGGCTTTTTGACATATATCTCAACTTATAGGGGTATTTCACAAATTAACCCTCAAAAGAATTTAAAAAACAAAGTGAAAAAAAAATTCTCTGGGAATCCTCGGGGCATCCTCGGGCTACCGCCATTTTGTGGCCTTCCCCAAGGTACCTCCCGAGGTCCACCGGAGGTCAAGGACCCCCCAAGGTACCTCCCGAGGTCCACCGAAGGTCAAGGACCCTCAATAATCGGAGCGGTGAGGGCACCCATCGTCGGCAAGACATTTTCGTCGGCTGGTCCGTTGGAGTACCTACCGGCCAACAGACATCTTGGGTCATCAACGTTCAACTTCCAGGATACTTACGCCAACAATAACCATTGGTGGTCAGGTGACCTCCGCGAACGTCTTCAACCGGTGTTCTCCCTCGGAATGCATACCGCCAAACGGAAAGGGCTTCAAGGTCGGCAAAATTGGATATTTTAGCCGACCCGCCTTTCAATCCTCGTTGTACTCGGCGGCGTAAAACGTTAAACGACATTTGTCGGATATTGCAGTTTACCGTTTTATGCCCTCTTCGTCACCGTTTGGTGGAGGTTTATCGGCATCGTGTAGTTACTGCCCTTCCCTACGTATCGTTCATGGGCGACGTCTTTCGAAGGTTGCCGCTGCTGCTCCTGGTAATAATTTTGTTTGTCATAATCATCTCCCACGTCTGCATCCTCTGAAGGTTGTCTGGATGCGCACGCAAGAGGTGTTCTACGAAGAAGGGCATCATCATGGACGGATGGCAGCGAAGAGTAGGTCTTCAGTAAACCACTCCACGAGCCACCGCGTAGGCTATGTCTTGGCTCGCAGTGCAAGGGTGTACGACCCGTTAGAGTGTGTGTGCCGTATGTTGTCCTCTACCATCTACTCCCTTCATCGTCATCTTGGAGTTACGGCCCTGTCGTACGTGTCATTGATGGTCGACCTTTATTGAAGGTTGCCACAATTGCTCCTAGTCGCGATTTTGCGTGTTATGGTCCTCATGTTTTACGTGTGCATCCTCTATCGTTGATGGACGACCTCTATCGAAGGCCTCTAACAGAGAAGACGAGGGATCAACACTAACTGCAGTCGACATCGACATCGACACCTCGTTCCGCGGGGCTTAGTCCACACTAGATGCAATCGCCATCACCCGAAAGACACGAGGCGACATACGCAGCTTCTCCCGGAAGTACTCCTTCATCGCGTCATCAGATTGCCTGAGATCCTCCCACGTCTCCCTCATCCTCTTTTTCATCCATCAAATGAGCGTCACTCGTGGAAGAACACTGCAACCCATGGAGCAGCAAACTTGAACTACGATCTCAGTGATGACCACGGTATCCAGCCCTTCGATCGGGACTTGATGAAGCGTCATTCTCCTCCGCGCGCGGATTTGCGCTCTTTGTTTCCCAATGCTCTCTCTTGCTATCAACGAAAGAGCACGGTCGCCTTCTCAATCATCATCAACTTCGCACGTTCATCGTCGTCGTCGCCCTGCATCGGCACTTGTGTTGCAATGCTCATGAACTACGACAATACAACAACCTACCAACTCGCCACGACCACGGTAACCTCAACGCCAAGTCGTCGATGACGTTCCTTGCATGTGCTCGACTCCACATATACGTGCGGCGGCAGGAGGAGGTGATGGCGATGGACCTTCACGGGGCACTCACAAATTCGTCTAAATTTACGACAACTCTATTGCGCCGCTGCAAATGCCCGTTTTCACTGCCGCCAATATGGACGTCACTTGCCCCACGTCGTCGTCGTGACGTCCAACACCCAATTTAAGATTTGATTTTCGAACTGAGAGGTCCATTACTTTTTAAGGGTTTTTTTTTTTTCGTCACCAGCGCCTTTCAAAATTTTCCGCATTCGGCAGTTGAACCACACTGTAGCGAGACAGACATCACCCAATGGACCAAGGCATTGCCCTCCCCCGCAACCGACTATAATATTATGAAAATGGTCGTCGGGGGCCAAAAGGAATCATCCTTAGGAGTCCACCCCAAGAATAGGTGTAATGACGACAAAAATTTCCTTGAAAACCCTTCCTTCGGCCCCACGGACGCCCCAAGGAGTGTCTAACGAGCCCCAAAGTAAGCTACATATTATCTCAATTTCACCTCACACTACCTACCTACCACTACTCCTAACCATAGTCATACAGAGAACCTTGTAGTGGCCAGAACCGTGTTCACGAAAAAACATGTTGGGGCTGCTCCTGACCTGCAGGTGGGCGATATTGGCCAGGGGACAACCCGTAGCATCAGGAACCATGCCAACACGACCAATCCCTATGCCTCCCTCAGGTCCCCTCCCCTACGAACATTAACAAACTTTGCTCAATGTCGATCGGGAGATCCAGTGGTATATTTATAGGTGGCGGGCACCAAGCATACAAGCATACCCAAAAAGGTACACGCGGTGAGGCCGCCAAGGCATGCATCCGTTTAAAATACTAAATCTAAGCTTATTTTACTTAAAGTTGTGACAATCGTGTGATTCAGGGGTTAAATGACTAAAAACGATGACCTCATCTCATGTACAGCCGCAGTGTAGAAGACGCAGACCATCATTTTTTTCTTGATGACCATAAAATTGGTCGCATTAAAGGGAGAGTTTGCGCCTAGGCGATAAAGAATCTGTATCATGCCTTATAAGGTACGATATACGTTCCATCAAGAGGTCGGCAACCGACGGGTTGCGTGGCGGGGGCAGGTGCATCTTGCTAAGCATAGGCTAGGTTTCTGTTGGGGACCGAATTTTTTATATTGGAGAGCCGTTTTTGTTTAATGTGAAACAGGAGCTAGCCCAATAGGTTGACATGCCGTACTTTTACCTCGCAAGTACCAAGATCGAGCCTGGCGTCACGTTGGTTGGGCTAGCTCTTTTTGGAGCAGCCCATTCAAAAGGCAGCGTGACGTGATCGATTTCAGTCGCGCGATCACATAGGTCATGCGGCCGAAATCGGCCACGAAGATTCATGGCCCGAGAGCAAGGATGATACGCATAAATCGAGAAATGGTTTAATTTTTTTGTTCGATTTCTGACATGAATCGAACCGTGGTATGTATTGCAACATTTCACCGTGAAGCTAGGGAAAGAGAAAACGGGTCATTGGTTTATGCCAATGATATAAAAAAAAATAAAAAAATAAAAATCCACAATGTCAGATGACGCAACGAGAAGGAAAACAATTTTAACTCCCCTGTCGGAACGGAGCAGGCGTCCATTATCAGGCCAAAAAATGTCCACATACACAATACAAGGGTTTGAAGCAAGATTTACAGACAAAGAAACGTCTAAAATAACAAAGAGGCGTTTGCCTTGCACTAACACCAGAAACAAATATACCCCACACTTAGTCTCAAAACAACTAAACAATACGCCCCCGATAAAGGTTGTGCCAATTGAAAAAAATAAAGTGTATTGTACGGTAACATTACAAGCCCGATAGTTAAAAAGAAATCCAACAGGAAGGAATATCCCAAATGCCACAACAATATAAGAACCAATAAATTTGAATTCACAAAAAGTTTTCGATGGATATATCTAAAATATTTTAGATTCAGTTTTCAACTCCCTGCCAATAGATGGAACAACCTCACAATCAAGGGCTCAATTCTCGTGCTTGTCTCACTACCACTGCAATTAACAGCTTGCAAAAATGGCTATTTAATTTTTTATTTGAGAAAACAAGGGCGCTGTCATGGCTTGAGTTTCTAAATACACTTGAAACTATCATTTTGGAGTTCAATCCTCTTTGAAGTTTACACTGTAGACCAAACTCCTCCGTCGCATGGCTCTCGCAAGACAGAGTTTGTAACTGCATTCTAGTTATCCATATAGGAGGTCCATACCGTTTTTAAAAAAAAACAGAAAAAACATGAAAAAAAAAAGATTATAGCGTTGTATATTTTTATGGTATATCGGAAGATTCACTATCGGTTTCCACGATTGATAGGGTTTTGCTCCACTACTCTCGAAATGTACAAAACGAGAGTGAATCTTCTGTTATAACAT